TTTGACTAAAGCCTCCCAGAGAACTGGTTGTGTAGACAGGCCTGGCACCTCTGCAGGGTGTCGTGATTAATAGCCAGTGCTGCTTGACCAAAAAGCATATCCCATTCGGTCTGTTGAGTGGCACATGAACGCCAGAACTTGGAACCCGGGTATAGGAGTTCCTCTTACAAAGAAAACATTTGCAGGAATGGAGGGTGTCCTGGGGGTGCTCTGGCCCCTCACCAGGTTTCCAGCATGAATCCTTTCTGGGCTCCCTCTGTGAGCTTGAATGTGGGATATGAGACCTGGGATCACTCCCACCCTGGGGGTCTCCATTGACATACGAGGAGACTGGGGCTATGGCCCTGCCAGTGACCTGGAGCTCTTTCTGCCCTTCCCCCACCACCTGGGCATGGCCCAGCGAAATGGACACTTCGCCACCCCCTCCTCTCTCTGCACGTGTCCAGTTCTCCTGGAGTCTCCTGGGCTCAGGAACTTGAACTTCCCTGCCTCCTCACCTCACAGGCTCAGGTCCTATGACTCAGTCTGTTCTGAATTCTTTAGCTCCCCAACAACCTACCCCAGCAGACATGTTCCTCCATCTCTGTCTTGGGCTGTGATTATCCTGGTTCCAGCCAGGCCTCTGCCCGCAGCAAGAGGCCCTCCCTGCTGTCTGCACCCCTTCCCAGCCTCCAGCCTGCTGTCCTGGGAAGGCCCCTGGGATCTTCTGAATGGCACCACGTGGGGGCACTCTGGTCCTGGCCCACCATATCACACAGCTCCGGCGGCACGAGTCACAGAGCTGGGAATACGGCGGGAATAGTGCCCTGGCGATGGCATTCGGCAGGGGGGCAGCTTGGGTAAGGAAGGGAGAGCAGTGTGTCACCTTTCTGCAGGAAGGAAGGACTAACTATCCAGGCAGCGGGGTGGGGTGGGGAGTGGAGACAGGAAAGGTCTCCTGGAGGAAGGAGATTTGGGCTGGGCCCTGAGGAATGTGCAGGAGCACACCAGGTGGGCCTCCATTGTAGATCCACTCTCACCAGGCCTGCACAAAGTGGGGTTCCTAGGGGCAGGTCTGGGCAAGGTGGGGTTCCTAGGGGCAGGCCTGCACAAAGTGGGGTTCCTAGGGGCAGGCCTGGGCAAGGTGGGGTTCCTAGGGGCAGGCCTGGACAAAGTGGGGGTTCCTAGGGGTAGGTCTGGGCAAGGTGGGGTTCCTAGGGGCAGGCCTGCACAAAGTGGGGTTCCTAGGAGCAGGCCTGGGCAAGGTGGGGGTACATAGGGCCAGGCCTGAACAAAGTAGGGGG